GAGACGAACAAAAAAAGCCTCTTGGAGGGGTATAAAATAACGTAAATGAAGTCGGCCATTTTGAATTTCGTCCTCCGTAGGAATTTTGTATCGCGTTCGGGACTTTATCCGAACGACCCGAAATTCGTCGGGTATTATCTCGAGACATGGCCGGCAAATTGTTATCACGCAGTTTTTCTGTTTTTCGCACGGCGTAGCCGTGATTCGGCGCCAAAGTTCGCATTCGCGTCGATGCTAGGCGATCCCTCGCCATGGAACACGATGATGTCATAACTCAAACTGACATACTCAGAACGCCACCACTGATGTTACTTAATTTGGCGTTACCACGGCAAACGGATCTTCGCCATAAACTACGGTGTCGCTGTAACTCCAATGGACACGGTCCCCATCGTCCCCCCAATCTTCACTTTTATATCACCGGTTCATGCCTCAACAGCTCTACATGAAATCTGAGATAACACCATATGCCGTTTCCATGGAAACACATCCTTCGCCAAAAAATACGATGTTCTTGTAATTCAATGGAAAATCGTCCAAACAGCACCAGACTTCAGACTATCATTAATGGGCCGGCCCTCAACAGCTCTATGTCAATTAGGGGATGTCATCATATGCCGTTGCCATGGCAACAGATCCCTCACCATGAAACATGGTGTTGTCCTAACTCAATGGAAATTCGTCCAAACGGCACCAGACTTCAATTTACACACGGCAATCTATTGCACGTCTGTCCGTCCTGGGAGAGGGATCCCTCCTCTGTTGCTCTCCCTGAGGTTTCTCCCATTTTTCCCTTTAAACTGTGGGTTTTCTCCGGAAGTTTTTCCTTGTACGATGTGAGGGTCTAAGGACAGAGGGTGTCGTATTGTCATACTGATATTTTGTACAAACTGTAAAGTCCACTGAGACAAATGTACATTTGTGATATTGGGCTATATAAATAAACATTGATTGATTGATGAGGAGTTATTTCCAAAATGCTATAAACGCCAAATTGAAAAAAAATTGAGTTTGTCGTGCCATTTTACTGTGTACTGACCTATTCACTGCTCTATCAACATTTCATGCCAAATCGCTATATATCCTTGTTTAAAATGTACGGCAAGATGCAGTTCCTTTCCAAACCGCGATAAGCGCCAAACCTATTTTGAGCCTAAACGCGATATGTCCTCTCTACCAATCAGAATTCGGTGAGCATTCTATGCAATCCAACATGGCGGCGCTCTGAGTCGAGGTTTGTTTATGTTCATTCAGTCTTCGAAATATGTCTTTAACCTGTTAAACCCCGAGCCTGTTTTTCAGGTTTCAGGCTCGAAAATGACATTCCCAGAACAAATGACCATATCTTCCTTCTAAAAGGGTTAAATTAATAATCTTTTTTCTCAAAGTAATGATAAACCTGTGAGTTGGATGTAGAAAAAGTCAGATTCAATATAGATGTTTTTCATTTTAAAGAAAATTCAGATTGAACATGGTAAAAAACTGTAAATTATAGTGTCCGTCCAAAAAATATGTTTTACTTATAGTGAAAACTAACCTTGGATGATGGAACTAAAAGCTTTAGGAATCCAAAGTACAACATATAATAAGTACCCTGTATCAAGATTGATGCAAAACAAGTGACATTTGACCTTTTTAGACAGATTGAGCAAAAAAAAACCTCTTCTGGGGCCATTTGGGTGGATTTTCCATATCTCTGGCCCCCCTTGCTGGATATTGACATGTGACATCTCTTTGTGACCGTCAGAGCCAATGGAATCGAGGGGAACTCCCACATAGTCCTTATTTGGTAATGTGTGTGTGTGAGACTGCCGCATAGCCTAGACCGGAAGCAGCAGCCACTCTGGTGGCTACCATTAGCAGCTAACGTTTCCGCTCTCCGATTTTTACATAAAAATGGAATTATGGATCATAAATTAAATCATTTTTTTATACAGAGACGTTAAAAACCTATGGATTAACCGATTCAGCCGCGTTTTTTCTCATTTTAATGCCATTCAACACGTATTTTGATCAGATTGACAGCTACGGTGAGACGATCTCCCTAGAAGCTCCGTAAAGGTACGTGTTGTGATGTCTGTATTTGCTTCCCCTGTCGCGAGTCCGGATCACTCTGAAGAAACACACTCCTCAATGTCAGTTTCGGTACTTTAATGACAAGGATGACGACACCCTGAAACAGAGCAATGCAGCAAGATAAGCTGACAAAGTACTAGATAGATACTAGATAAGATAAGCTGACAAAGTACTACATACATGCATGTCATGACCAATACACATATATTCAATTACATAGAGTAAAGACACACCAAACAATAGTGGAAACAATCTTACATGAATGAGTGGATGAATGTCTCAACTCGAGGCGGAGTGAATGAACAATATTTGAACTAAAATGGCCGCTCAACACTACCGGGTCAGAGCACGGCATATCCGGACAGCGACAGCAGTGACGCTGCCCTCTAGTGGCCGGCGATAAACTCTTCAAGGCAAGGCAAGTTTATTTATATAGCACTTTTCAACACAAGGCAATTCAAAGTGCTTTACAAAAAATGAAAGACGTTCACACTCAGTGATGATACTATATACCTAAATAATCTGTGGAACCTCAGCTTTAATCTGATATCTTGTATGTGCAGCTACGATAAGTAATAAGGGTACTTTTATCTTGAGTTCTGTGCCAATGTCCGTTAGCATTTTTCGCTAAGGGGTCATTTAGATGCTTCTTATGAGACTTGTGTTTTGTTTTGGTAAAAATGGTTTGTATCGTCAGTTAGCTGAGATTATTTCCGTTAATCTGGTATAACACATTAATAGGTTCTTAAATATTAAGATCCCCTGAGACACAGTGTCGTGAAAAAAAAAACAGGGTCCCCACCGACGGGGACCCTTGGGGTTTAACAGGTTAAATGTTTTAAACTGTTGCAACACCTTTGATGGCCTGGATGAGCCAGTGAGACCTACACCTGGGGGTAGAAAACGTCGACTGGACAAAAGCAAAAGAGGTTCCTAACCCCTGCTAAGGAGAAAACTGGAATGGTAATAGCAAGTTAGTTGTGTGTAATTCTGTTTATTTCATACTGGCTACAATCAATGTATTTGACAATCTAAATAATTTACTTTCACAGGCATCAGCAAAGACCGTGTGTCCCGGGTGGCTCAATATTATGCTGAGACTGCTGAGGCTAGCCCAGAGAGAAGAGGTGGTGCACGGCACAGTGAGGAGCAGGCAAGGAGAAGGCAACTCATTGTTGAGCACGTCCAGTCCTTTACCTGCAGGGCCAGCCATTATGGGCGGAGAGGAGCACCAGGCCGCAAGTATCTCCCCAGTGACCTGAATGTGCGCAAGATGCATGAGCTCTTTGAGGCTCAGAACCATGCTCAGACCAGCTACTCCCTCTATTATTCAGTGTTCTCCAAGGATTTCAATCTTGGCTTTGGTCACCCAGCCACAGATGCATGCGCTGATTGTGCCAAGTACAAGCTCAGGATTGCAGATCCAAATCTAGCTGAGACAGAGAAGAGGATGGAATCTGCATCATTCATCTTGCATTGCCGCCGAGCGCGCGTCTTTTATGACCTGTTAGGCAGGGTTGCCGAAGGTCATGTGTGACCTTGTGTGAATGGATGGATTTATAGCGTTTTGAAAAAAATAAAATAAAAAACTTTGATTTAATCAACAATATTGTTGTTTGATTTAATAATCATTGTTCAATATGTTCAGACTGAGCCAACAAACCATTTTAACAGGATACATTTAATATTAACAAAATGTGTGGGTCTAGGTAAAAAATGTCATTTTCCTGAAAACTATTCAAATGGATGTATAGCGTTTTGGAAAAGAACTCCTCATATGATGGCTACTAGTCCAGCCCTCAACAGCACTATGTCAATTAGGGGATGTCATCATATGCCGTTTCCATGGCGACAGATCCCTCGCCAAAAAACCTGGTGTTGTTGTAATTCAATGGAAAATCTTCCAAACGGCACCAGACTTCATATGATGGCTCCTAGTCCGGCCCTCAACAGCACTATGTCAATTATGGGATGTCATCATATGCCGTTTCCATGGCAACGCGTCCCTCGCCAAAAAACCTGGTGTTGTTGTAATTCAATGGGAAATCGTACAAACGGCACCAGACTTCATATGATGGCTAATGGTCCGGCCTTCAACAGCTCTACGCCAATTATGGGATGTCATCATATGCCGTTGCCATGGCAACAGATCCCTCGCCATGAAACACAGTGTTGTCATAACTCCATGGAAAATCGTCTAAACGGCACCAGACTTCAGATTACAGTTAATGGTCTTGCCCTCATCACCTCCATATGACAATAGTGAGTTTTCCTCAAAAGCTGTTGCCATGGCAACACATTCCTCGCCGTTAAGCACAGTATTGCTATAACTCCTCTGTAAATAGGTAAAAAAGTGTTCAAATTTCACATGTGTGCGAACCGTCAAGCCCTCGAGACATATATGTGTCAGTTTTGAGATTTCTTCAAATGTCGTTGCTATGGTAACAAAATGGTCGCTGTGAAACACGGTTTTCTCATAACTCCAGTTAACATGCTCCAAACGGCACAAAACTACACAGGTTTGATAACAATGCAGCCCTCAACACATCTAGGCGTATTATGGGGTGTCATCAAATTTCGTTGCCATGGCGACAGATCACTCGCCACAATGTTTATGATACTGCTGTAACTCCCATGTACGTTGTCCGATCGACCTGAAACTTCCCACGTTTGCCAACGGCCGAGTCCTCGAGACATCTGCCTGACGTCGACGTGCGGACAACAGCATGCGGAGCGTCGAAGACCCGTTCAACGCTGCTTGCAGCTTTAATTATGGTTGCAATACAATCAGAGCTAAATATATATTATCTTCTATAGAAAGGTTCATAGAAATAATAACATGTGTTAAAGATGGAGTATCTGGCAGTCCTTTGTCTCATGTGTGAATATTTCTTGAAGTAGATTTATAAGGTGCACTGACTCACCCTGCGCTGGGGGGGGGAGAGTCCCTCCATGCTGTCCCCGAGGTGCCCCTCCCCCTCAGTGTAACTCCTCCGCTCCAAGCCTCTCCTCCACAGAGGGACCGGGGTCTCACTGCTCATGTCTGAAACATAAATCACAAACAAGAGGTTTGGCATACAAGTGTGTAAAACGTTTTCAAATTTGACTTGGGTATAGTACTTGAGTAAATATACTTAGTTACTTTACATCACTAATTATGAAGTGTGTTGCATCTGACTCCTCAGCAGTGTGAGTGTTCACATGTTGGGGCCTCGTGCAGAGGGGGGGTGAGGCTGTTTGATGGAACGCTGCAGGTCTGTTTACCCTCTGTTTGACTCACTTCCCTGTTACCCCCCTCACCATCACATGGACTCACACGTTTTACTAATCATGACCCTCTGCTAGGCAAAACCTAAACTAAATGCCTCAGTCAGTCAATACACACTGAGTGACGTTGGTGTAAAGTAGCTAAATACATTTAGAGACTTGTACTTTACTTGAGTATTTTAATCTTTTGCTACTTTGTACTTCTACTCCACTACAGTTCAGAGGTACATGTTGTACTTTTCCTCCACTACATGTATGTAATACCTTTAGTTACTTTACAGATCTGGATGAATGATGTGAAATCTAATCAAGTGTTAAATCAGACTTTAGTTCCACATGGAGTAAATCCACCAGCTCCCCTGCAGTATACAAAGTCATTCAAACTAGCTGCACCTTTACCAGCTTTGAGAACACTTTAATGATCAATCATTATAAAACATATCATATATATTATTCTGAAATGGACCAATCTGCACAATCACTACTTTGGCTACTTTAACTATATTTTTAATCTTCTGCATTACCTCTGTGTGACTGCAACACATTCAAACAGCAATGATTAGAATAAACAAACTGTTAATCCTTTCTACTACCCTGCAGTTCCACATATCAATCAAAACTCTTCATGTTGTTTTCCCCTGTCTTTAATGCTTTAATTCCTCCACCTGTAACAGTCAGTGTCTGGTTTATGAATCCATGGTACAGTCAGAGATATCCACTCTGCACCTTATCTGGTCCCCAACTCTCCTTCTGAGAAGAACCAAGGCATTCCACAGTCCACGGGACATTGTGTGTTCCCGCCATGAGCAGGATGCCAGGAATTCCGCCGGTGTCCCACTCGAGTCATAACTTCATCTTCCCCAGCGGGACCTCCGAGCTGTCAGTCAACAGCGCCCCCCCGCTCCCAAGCGATGTGAGCTGCTCCCAAAACAATGTTGATAACATGAAACCTGTTAAACCCCATCCCTGTTTGTCAGGTCTCAGGCTCGAAAATGACATTCCCAGAACAAATTACCATATCTTCCCTTCTAAAAGGGTTAAATGAATAATCTTTTTTCTCAAAGTAATGATAAACCTATGAGTTGGATGTAGAAAAGTCAGAATCAATATAGATGTTTTTTATTTTAAAGAAAATTCTGATTGAACACAGTAAAAAACTGTAACTTATAGTGTCCGTTAAAAAAATATTTGTTACTCATAGTGAAAACTACCCTTGGATGATGGGATGGTAGACTAAAAACTTTAGGAAATTTGACCTTTTTAGAGAGATTTAGCACAAAAAAAACACGTCTGGGCTCATTTGGGTGGATTTGACCTATCTCTGGCCCCCCTTGGTCGATTTTGATGATTGACATCTCTTTTTAACCGTCAGAGCCAATGGAATCGAGGGAAAGTTCCACATACACACAGGTTACCAAATAAGGAGTGAGAGTGATGCGTAGAAAAACCGGAACCGATTTTTGCATAAAAATGGAATTATGGATTATCAATACTTTTTTCAAAGAGACAGACACATTGGATTGACCTATGGATTAACCTTCAGCCGCGTTTTTTCTCGCTTTAATGCCATTGAACATGACTTTTGATCAGAATAACAGCTAAGGTGAGCATATCTCCGTGTTTTGCTACCTAAAGCTACGTTGTGTTCACACCAAGTTCTTTTCTCACAATAGTTCATGAGAACTCAGTTCATGAGAACTCTTTTAGTTCTCATGAACTAAGTACAGATCGCGTTCACACCGCAATGAGTTCCTGGGGGTGGATAAGGCAAATGAAGCCGCTGACGTCACTTCTTCTTCTGCTTTGGGTTTACTGGCAGGCCGCAAACAACTTCACGGCGTATACTGCCACCCGAAGTCCCCGGCCGGAAGTCCCCGGAGTTGGGGAAGCTGCTGGGACTCCCAGCAGCTTCTACGAGTAATCGCCAGAACGCCAGAACGCCGACACCTCCGCATCTCCACCGCTCTAATGTTTACTTTCGTGTTGCCATAAGTTAGTCTCTCTGCGTTTCTGCGCTGGGCTAATGCTAATAATGCTAATGCGAGGATAATAAAATGGCGGATTCACAAAACTTTTTTTTTGGCAGTTTTACAGGGCGTGGTTTGCAATCCGTCCAGCCAATCAGACATAGGAACCTTTTTCTCCCACGAAAGTCCCTGCTCTGTAGCAGGGACTGAAAAGGGGGTACAAATGGTTCTGATTAACTAATTTAGTTCACATAGACACTGAAAAACCCTCTTCATTTGTCACACACACACACACACACACGTACATACATGCACACAGTACAGCACACTGCAAATAACCCATCCTAGTACTAGGAGCAGTGGGGGGGGATCCTGTGCCTTGCTCAAAGTCACCACGGCAGTCCACACTCCTTTTAAGTCTGGGACTTGAACCTGCGATCCCACAGCATCCCTACTGAGCCACTGGATCCTAGGGTCCTCTGGAGGTGAGGCCCACTGGAAATCTGCCGCACTTTAACTGTGATTGAAGTGGTCAGAAGGTCGAACAGTGTGGTTGTATCTGGGAAGTTCAGGAGTGCAGGGCCACATTTGTACTTTGTTGTATATTTCCAGATCCATTTACTCAAGTACTGTACTTAAGTAACATTATGAGATGATTGTGCTTTAGTTGAGTATTTCCATGTTATGCTACTTTATACTTCTACTCCACTACATTTAAAAGGGAAATAATGTTATTTTACTCCACTACCTTTAATCAACAGCTTTATCTACATTTAACATCATGCATCTCTAAAATGTAACTAGTGGACTAACTCTTAGTCACAAAAGATTAAAATAATACAAATATTTTACATAAAATCAATAATATAAAATTATAAACACACATAGGCAATTGTTCTGCCCAATGACTACTTTTACTTCTTAATTTAAGTTCATTGTGCTGATAATACTTTTGTGCTTTTACTTTAGTAAGATTTTGAATTCCGGTATTTTGACAATAATACATTGCTACTTTTTCTCAAGTAAAGCATCTGAATACTTCTTCCAACACTGTACATTTCCATAATCTACGACCCAACAATTACTCCGACCAGGTGCTCTCTTTCCTTCCAATATAAACATAATGCTGTACATCCGCTGCCGACCAAGTTTGAATACACATTTGTTCAAAAGCACACTGAAGGACAGAACTGTTCTAAAACAAACAATGTAAGACTGCAGACAGAGTACCTGTCCTGGTGGATAGGAGGGGGTGCCGGCCGACCTCGTGGATGGTGGACAGGTCGGACAGGGTCCCACTGGGGGACAGACACTCACTCCTGGAGGGTCTCTTGTGAGGGTCCTGGAACGCCAGCTCTGCTGCTCCACAGTTGCAGTGCTGCTGGAAGAAGTCCTGCAGGAAGAACACCAGATGCATATTACCATATTCTTCATTTAGCATTTTATATTGTTAATCTATTGATTTCAATGTTATATGCTTTTGGCATTATCGTTGTTATTTGTTTAACCGTGTGAACAGCAGCTAAGGCAGCAAAACTGACCTGTGCTTTGATAGCTATGCATTCATATTTTCCTCATTATTTAAAAAAAATCAGAGCATCGATCTAATTGAGGTTTACATCGTTCAGTTTAGTTTGAAAACAGTGAAGAACAGTTTGTGCTTTACAGCATTAAAACATTGCATTGCTAACTTTACCAGTGGTCTAGTTACTACATGAATCCTACTGTCACACATACAGTGTCTGCGTGTCAAAAATGTGTTCAGATAGGACTTTGCTATTGAGAAGATAACAGCAGGGAACTGGGGAAGGCTTTCATGGTCATTCCTCCTCTCCTCGCTCTCTCTCGATTCTCATCGAGCTCTATCTACTCTCTCCTCTCTCTCTCTCATAGCTATCGCATAATATATCTCTATATCTCTCTCTCTCTCTCTCTCTCTCTCTCTCTCTCTCTCTCTCTCCTCTCTCTCTCTCTACTCTCTCTCTCTCTATCTATCTCTCTCTCTCTCTCGAAGAGGGTCCTCTGCTCTCTCTCTCTCTCTCTCTCTCTCTCGGAAGAGGGTCTGGAAGCTGAGTTTTTAACTCCTGTGAACACATACATTTATAGGTTTTTCCTCCAGCCGGCTCTTTCCCCCGAAAACCAAACAAATGTCGGTCTAGAAGCAAGAACCACATACGTCACGCTTACGTCAGAGGCGGGGGCAGGGGCGGGATTAACCTGAGACATAATAACAGTTTATGGCGAGTACGGCAAATAAAAGTTGTAACAAGCAGTAGTGGTGAGCAAAGTGACTAGAACGCAACCATACACTTATAAAAAAAAAACACTTTATAAAGTCAGGCAACACTAACCAGGCTTAGTGTGATTCTGTTTATTTGTACCTTACCAAAGTAAGGTTTTGGTGTGAACAAAACGGGGGCTGAACCAGAAGAGCGCAAGCACGGAGCTAGAACGGGAACCGCGTTGGTGTGAAAGGGGCATGACAGACAGCAATGCTACATACAATATTTATTTCAGGTTTATATGGCATTTGGAAGGTCTATGCTATTCTATAGCTTAATAATGTTGGTTATTTCAACACATGCTGAGTCAGCAGTGCTGAATTGTAGAATTGTAGAATTCAACAGACACAGATATTGCACCAATCAAATTACAGTATTGAACACACAACACTTTTAAAATACTGTATGTGGTATTTGGTACTCTCATTCAGGATTATGATAAACCAGAGCGACTAAATGATGCTAGATACATGTTCACATATCAGAACGTTGATGATAAAATGTAAAGGTTAAACTATGTTTTAAAAATTGGAAAGAATGATTCAAACATTTAAAACACAAGATTTGTCTAATTGCTTCTCCTTGAAAATGTAATGTTACAAATCTGTTCCAAAGTTTTAAAACTTTGACTAAAATCTGTCCCTTCGGGTTGGCATACTGGGATTTTCAACATGATTTGTGATCAGACAGACAATTATACATCAGAAATACAATCCTTGCCCATAACCCCCCGCCCCCCCAGACAGCAGAATAAGAGTCCCACCTCTCTGGTCCTCGCCCCCCGGCCCTCTCTCTGCAGGCTGCTGATGTGCCTCTGCAGACGGAGGTTGGTCTCCTGCAGCTGGCCCATCTTCTCCATCAGCTGGCAGATGTGCTCCAGGTAACCCAGGCCGGAGCTCAAAGGGCTGGGACTAGCCTGCTGGCCCCAGACACACAGAGGGGGGGGGGGGGGGGGGCAGGTTAGTCAGGATTACAGCAGGAAGCTGATAGGAGATTTGGAATTTTTCAGAAAATGAGCTGATCAGATTTTGCCACTTTGTGGTGTCACAATGTTTTTTGGGTTGGGAAACCATTAGCCCATAACCAACCAAGGTAACCCCCGCCCACCTTATCACCTGAATCATTGTACATCATTGTATTATCAGACATTGATCATGGCCAAGTTAACATTAACTCATTTTGGATTACGTATTGCTTTCTTTGAATCAAAAAGGAAGTGGTTTAATGTAATGATGGTTTAACTTAGACAATCAGCATTTTTTGTTTCTGTAATTAGCTTGATTTAATTTCCGTAATGAAGAGTTATAGTACTTATACTTGCAAAGTATGGAATAGGAAAAAAGTCTGATAACTTAAAAACAAAAGGAAACGATAATATTGTGAGATTTTGTGTTTAACTTGACTTTGAAATGAGGATTAATTATATAAACATTTTACAAAATGATATGATAAACTATAGAACTTTGTCAAGGTTTAACAATCATCTAAAAACTGCTTTCAAAGAACCACATTTTCAGAATGAGAATATTCAGGGTCATTTCTGACATCATTTTGTCAGACTCACTTACATCTTGAATATTCTTTGACAGATTTTCAGATGTCTTATTTTCCACATGGTAGAAAAGGTTTTATAACACAACCAACACACATTGAAGAAATAAAAAGGGATTATGTTTGCTGCATAACTTAGATTCCATAATGTCATGAGCCAGGAGCTGCAGTTTTTCAGCAATGTAAAAAAGAAAACAAGTTTTTTTTTGCAAATATTTATCCAATGATCAACATTCCTAAAAATATCCTGACAAAAGCAGGATGTGAGCTCAGGTCGGGGTCTGTCCCCCTCTTTCCTGTGCCACGGACACTGGAGCCCCAGTCAGCTAGCTGGGATGGAAACACAGTGGAACAATGGGTCTGAGGCTGGAGGACTGACATCACTTCCTGTGAGGATCCTCTGGGGATCAGAGGCTCTTGACCATGAACACGTTCACACTATACGCTGTGCGGTGGACACTTTCATCTGCATTCTTCTTTCAATGCGTCATCAAAAATAAAAGGTTCATCATACTCTGATGTCCTGCCAACATCTCCTCTAAGCAACATTTTAGATACAGCTAACGGGCTGATTATGCTTAAAATGTGTTTTGAGTATGATTGAGTATTTTAATGCTACACTCATCATTATTCATTGAAATTAACAATGGGTTATTATGATTAAATGTCTAAGGTCACATGATATTCCAGCTCTGCAGTCCTCCTCAGCTCTTCTGAGCGCATGAGCATCTTTTTAAAGGTTGATTTGGTTTTACGACCTCAACATTCTCTGCTTCATCATCCCAATACGTTTTGACACAAAATGCTTCAATCAGGTTCAAAGGGATAAAGTGATATTCATCAGAGGGATTACTCATCTCTTTTCAAGTCAACACACCCCTGGTGGTTTTTGGAGCCTAATTAAGATAAGAAAGGGTATTCCTTCCAGGAGATGACCCTCGGGGGTCTGTAACCCTAACCAATATGACTGCTCAGACACGCTATCAGGGCTGGGCTGATCTTATCCTTGGCCCACAGAGACCTCTTGATCCACAGCCGGGAAAAGAGGGTGAGATTCAGGAATGCCCTCTTCTGCGTGCGTACAAATTGGAAAGCACATGCAAACAAACACACATCCTGCTGCACTTCCTCTGAGCTTCCTCTGTCAAAAGCCAATAACGTCTCACACAGCGAGCAGACTGAGGCACCCAGGATGAAAGCTTCATGTCCAACACAACAAATACAACCAGATCGTCCAATAATGAGCAGGAATTGTCTCTGATGTAACCATCAGTGGAAGATCCCACATCAGGAATCCCTACTGTCCCTTAGACACTCATCTTCTGTGCTCATAAATCACACATCAGTTAAAAAATGTCTTATTTTTGCTGTTTTTTAAATGTATTTCCAAAGCTGTTTAGATGTATGCCTGTCCGATAAGGTGCTCAGGGATCCATAGATGGTTCACTGAGGCATGGTTTAAATGAATACCCTACTTTTTTTGTTAGTTTTTTTATCAAAAGGTTTAGGTGAACATTTAAGTAACATCTGCTTTTATGCTTAAAATGTTTCCTCTTTCACATGTTAACTAAAGAAAGATCAACAATAAAATCCCAGATCTGTGGGGAACCTGAGGCTTCCTCTGACCCTCTTGTGATTGTTTCAGTGTCTCTGCTGAATCCAAATGACGTTCCTATCATGACCGTGTTGGAAAAGAATGAAGCACCAGATGTGCAGAGCCTGCAGATAGGGAGGAAGGTCCGAGCAGAGCACGTACACTGCTCCTCCTCTTCAACACACACACACACACACACACACACACACACACACACACACACACACACACACACACACACACACACACACACACACACACACACACACACACACCACACACACACACACACACACACACACACACACACACACACACACACACACACACACACACACACACACACACACACACACACACACACACACACACACACACACACACACACACACACACACACACACACACACACACACACACACACACACACACACACACACTGTATCTTCTCAACACAATGTGCTGGAGTTTCCTTCTGTCCACTGTTAGTTTTGGCATTTGACTCTGATGTGGATTGATTCTTAGTCTTTAATTGCAATGTAGGTTTAGTGACATTTATGTCAGCAACATTATTAGAGTGCTGAAGCCTCATCAGCTGGAGCTGTACACCCTAACTCACACAGTTACCCCATTCCCACCAAAGCAGTTCCAGGGCCAATTCAGAGCTAGAGCCTGATTAAGCTCTGATCTTCCTGTTTCCCCCGCCTTGAGGCTGGCTCCTGGCCTTAGCTGACTGTCAGTCAAGAACCAAGAAACAAATGTGTCAGGTTTACGTCGGAAGCAGGGTCAGATTAACCTGAGCAATAACAGTTAATTGTGAATTCATCATTCAGTGGTCGGTAAATGCAGCTGAACTACATTAATAAACAATGAAACACGGCACTGGAGAAAAGTATAATGTTGGAGAAGTCGTTCTTTAATCTAATCTGGCTTTGTACGATTAAAAGCAACACAAGCATCGACCCGAGAAAAAACAAGCGACATAAATGATGATGTCATGACGTAGCACCACTCAGGCTCTGGGCGGTCGAAACACAACTGGGGCTAAAAAGGTGAACCAGTTCAGAACCGTTAGCTTATCACACCTCCTCTTTTACAATCTGCATTTTGTACGGTTCTCATTCAATGTGCATCTCTACAACCAGGGGTTAAATTGTACGGGGATCTCTGGGCTCTCCGGGGCTCAGCTCTGACGTCATCACCCTCGCACTTTCATCATATATTTACAATAAACGATATATATATATTTTTTAAATCGTTCTTAACATAGACTATATATTTAGGGTTCTTAATAATTTTGTGGTCGATACTTTATTTTAGAATAGCAGATCTGTGTGACCAGCTATAGTTTATCAACTTAGTGAACGTGTGTCTGCTCTGCTCAGGTGCTGCAGCACCCCCCCGCCCGGACTCCGCTGCTCCTCCCTGTAACGGCCCATCTACATGGCGGCGTGCGTTGAAGCTTCAGCGCTTCTGCCCATTCACTTTGAATGGGATGACTTCACGCTTTGCCGAACTGCATTGTTGTTCCGTCGCTTCGCTTTGCTGGCGTTGCTCCCTTCAAAAGTTGAGCAATGTTCAACTTTTGAAGCTTCGACGGAAGCGTCAGCCAATCAAATCATATGCCAGTACAAGCTCTAGCCTATCAAACCGCGTGCTTGTGTGTCCGGGGCGGGAGATTCATGTGATTGGTTGTTGGTCGAGTTTCAGACACACCCACCGGCAAGCTTCAACGCACGCCGCCGTGTGGACGCTGCGTAAAGAGTCTGCAGCGGTGCCACCCGACCCGTCCTGCAACACAGAGCCCGTTTCTTAAACCATGCTAAATGTATGTAGCCTATGTGCATAAAGCTGAGTTATGATCAGTCAAAATAACAACAAATGTGGTGATGATTAAATAGTTTACCGTGACATTTACAGCATATTTTTGGCCATAATATCGCAGCCCTACAAATGAACTGAGATATCGACACATATTTTAAGCTATTCCAGTGCGCCAACCAATACAATGCACGGTTTTAAGGATAGGATCAAGTCACTACTCATGTAGTTGCTTTTTACTGTTCTTTAGTAAGTGTGCAGTGCAATTTTGATTTAAAATGGAGATTTGAAGGTTGGATATTTGTGAAAATGTCTTGTGTATATATTATCATCTAATTTCTGGTGTAAATTAATTCCAGTTTAATGTTACTATTAAAAAGACGGTTTTGTTTGTAATAATTTCTATTTTTATTGTCTCATTTGGTGGCACCATTGTGTGCATTTGATAGAGATACTGTTACGGTGGCTGTTACGGTGTGCAGGAAGCAGGACCCAAATGCAGATTAGAGTAACAATAATTCCTTTATTTCAAGGCTAGATATAGGCTACACAAAGACAGCACGGAACACTCACCGATGAACTGGTCATAACACAAGACAACCCGACAAAGAGAGACAGAAAACCCAGAACTTAAATACACCCAGGACTAATCACATAAACACGAGACAGGTGAGGAGGGAGGAGAAAACACAGAGGTACCAGGTGAACACAATCGGGTAATCGGGGAGGGAAACAGACAGAAAGCAAACAGGCAGGAAACGGGGGTGAACACTTTACAAAATAAAACAGGAAACCCAAAGATAGAAAAAGACAAGAAAAACACCAACACAGACAGATCCTAACAGTACCCCCCCTCAGGGGACGGATTCCAGACGTCCCAAAACAAAACAAAAAGTCCAAAACCCCAAGCAGGGTGGGTGGAGGGGGTCAGGAGGACGGGACTGAACTGACCG